TCGTTTCTTGCCGTGTTCTGCTTCTTCTTTGTCTTTGCTTGCCATGCTGCTCCTCCTACTCTTCCTTATGCTACTACTCCTACTGCTGCTACTGCTGCTACTGCTGCTGCTGCTACTACGACCACCACCACGCGGATTCTTCTACTGGTATGCTTTGCTTCTTCTTCGTCTTGAGATCTGTGTTCCACGGGCAAAACGATATCTGTCCGAGGTCGACACGTTGGAGGAGGCCATCGCCATCGAGAACGCCAACCCCTACGGGAACGCGGCCGCCATTTACACCATGTCTGGCCAGACCGCTCTCGAGACGGAGCCCGGGGATATCAGGGAGTTTATACCTGTTGGGCACTATGATTCCTTTCAGGCTTCCTTCACTATCTTTATACCATACAGGAGCCTAAAAGAACCCTAGATATCAAGGGCTCAGGGATCAAATGGGCTGTGGGTGTAGAATACGATACTGCCAAGAAGAGCATGAGCCTCTGAGTGTTCGGGCATCCTCAAACAGGAGCCTCCCCCAGCTGTGTCCTTCGTCGCATGAGAGGCGAAAGGGACACTGCTCTTTGCTACGTAGAGGATCGGAGGAAATATTAGTAAGCACGGTTACGAGTACTAAAATCGGTGTTGAAAAGTATCTTGAACTATCTCCAGCTTTCTTGCAAACCCTACGTGTTAGGTCCCCGATCCTTTAAGTCAGGAGAAGCTCAATGCTGGCATGATTGGTGTCAACATTGGCGTGCCGGTGCCCAGGGAGCCGTCGGAAGCTCAGAGCATGCTGATGCTGTTTTCGGAGGGCTTCTGATGGCGCATGCCGCCTTCATAACATGAGTGGGGTCTTACGCTATGTGGTGTCGTGGCCGTAACAATTAGAGTAGGATTTGGGGAAGGATCGTCAGACGGTCACAGAGGGACTGCAGTGGGACTTTCTTAGGAAACTTGGTGAGAGTATGTTTTGGTGCTATCGTCAGAAAAGTCTTTTCAGACTACTTCTGGTTCGAAGGTTTTCAGCTCAGGTAACCTCGAGAGACCTACATTTCTCGGGTTCCTTATCATGAGCCGCCCTTCTAGTCAGTAACCACTGTAGAACACTTGTAGTCCCATACCGAAACCCGAAACCCCCAAACCCTTGAAGCCCTAAAATCCACAAAGATCCTGATAGTGACACCCCTGAGACCCTCAACCCTAAATCCTAAACCCTGAACCCTAAATCCCAAACCCGAAATCCCTAAACCCTGAAGCCCTTGTATAGGAACCCTAAGCCCCTTGAAGGAGCCTTAAATCCGGAGCCGTGAAACCCCACAGCTCAGCCCTTTTAGGCTATGATTATAGTACAATGAGCCCTCTTCTACTTACTAAGGCCCCTATATGGGTGGTTGTCAACATTATGGTCCCTATTTGGGTCCTTCTTATAATACGCCACCTAATATTTAGGGTACCCCAAAAAAGGGACCATAATTTTGACGACTACTCATATTCAGCTCCTAGGATGCCCAGTAGTACCCTTATTCCCTTTTTGTAGTCCTAGGTTCCTTATAAACTTACCCACTACCAAAAAGAGAGGCCTTTTTATTATTAGGTTACTGGGTATCCTAGGCCCCTAAACCCTAGACCCTAAACCCTAAACCCTTAACCCTAAACCCTAAACCCTAAACCCTAAACCCCTAAACCCTAAACCCCTAAACCCTAAACCCCTGAAGCCCCACAGTACCGCCTTTCAGGTTCAGCTTCGGCGGCATCGGAAACTCGAAGTTCGGGGACAGCTCCGACATCACCGGCGAGGGAGGCCTGAACTTCTGGACGCAGAAGAGCCCTGGGCTTTAAAGGCTTGCTCTAAGGGTTCCATAATGGACTACGAGAAGGGTTCTATAACGGGCTACCATAAGGGCTCTATCATAGGCCACTAGAAGGGGTCTTCAAAAAGGGTTTAGGGCTTAGAGTTCAGGGTTATCGAAGGGTTCTATAAAGATTACTATGTGGCTTAATATATAGAGTCTTAGTCATTGGTTCCTCAATGAAAAAAATATCAGGGGTGAGAGCCGAGGGCTTAGGTTGGCTCAGAGCTTGAGAATAAGGGATTGAGGGCTTGGGGTTCAGAGGGTTAGCGGTTTGCAGTTTGGGTTGAGGGTTTAGGTTTAGGGGTTCCTTGAAGGGCTTCTGATAGTGGTTCAGGAGGTAGCTTCCATAAGGACTAAAATGAAGGGTATGTGAAGTTTTTCGAAGCGTTTTTCATCAGCTTCTGAAGGCAACAGATTCCCAGAGAGGCTTGGGGATTGTAGGGCTTTGCGGCTTAGTTTGGGCGCAGGACTTCGGGGAAGCAGAGTGCTTTGTCCGGAGTTAGGGCGTAGCATTTGGAGCTCAGGATGCAGGGCCTGGGTTGAGGGTGAAAGTTTGAGTTTAGGTGCTGCCCCCATACAGTAAGAGTCTATAATAGGGCTACTATGAAGGTCCTAATATATCTATACTATGAATATTAAAGGTGTAAGCGTGTAAGCTTGAGGATTGCAGATCGGGGAATTGTTGAAGGTTTGGGGTTCAGGCATGTGCAGTTGGGAGTGAAAAAGGCTGGCGTTTTGCTATCTTCAGTGCCACGGATGTCAATACTTGGAGGTTCATAGGTAGTTAAAAGTGGGGATATAAGTCACCTGATATGGGTCATAATTATTGTTACCCTACTTATAACCCCACTTATAACTACCCATGAACCTCCAAGTAGTCATGACGGAAAGCCACCACCTTTTCCTCATCCTCCTCGGCGACAATGGCCACCGCGACGGCGGCAGTGGTGGTGGAACGACGACGACCACCCTGTTATCAAATCTGCTATTGACACTCCTGCAGCCACAGCCGCAGCCACTGCGGCAGCCACAGCCACAGCCACCGACGACTACTACTAATTACTGGTGTTGTTCTTCTTCTTATCGCTGCTGCTGCTGCTACGGCGTTGACGATTACTAATCCCTGGACTGTCCGGCGTGCGTCTGCGTCAGCAAGACCCGTAACTACGCCGATACTCTAGTATATCATTAAGGAAATATACATTATGGGATATTATTCGGGTAATATTATTATATGTTCTTCTGGTCTAACAGTATATTATAGTATCCTAGTCTCTCTCTTTACCACTGCCGTGATGATTGCCAGTCAGTCCCTGAGGTCGCTTAGAGGTGGAGTTCAATTTGGGTTTCCTTGGGCTTGGATGGGTTGGATGACACAACGAAGGAAGTGATCCCGGCTTTTAATGCTGAACCCTGAAACCCTACACTCCCAAGCCGCTATAGACGATCCCATAGAGCTTAAACCCTCCGAGGATCAAGATCACCTCGAAGTGGCAGCCGCCGAAAAAGCGGGATGTCATCAGCTCGAGCTTCATTTCCTGAGCTCTGAGAAAGGGCCAAGCTGGGCTAGTTTTTAGGGGGGCTTCGGCAGCTTTCGGGTGCTTGTGAGCACGCGCCTGGGTGTGGGGCGAAGAGTGGATATGTGTGTGTATATGTACACACATACATATCTCAACATAAAAACGGATATAAAGAAATGAATATAAAGAAATAATTTTCAAGCTTGAATAAATAAGTATTTCGATATTTGTCTATATATATATATATATATATGTATGTATATACATACATATATTGTGTGTAAGTATATGCACCCCTCGCACGCACGCAGAGACACACACACACACACATCGATGTAAACGCTATGTAGGTGGGTCGACAGACAGATAGACAGATAGACAGATAGATAGACAGATGGTAGACAGATAGATAGATAGATAGATACGGCAGTAGTCAACACTTGTAGAGTCGCCCTTGCAGATGAAAAGGCTATCGAGCCAGATGACTTTTGTCCAGGCTGCCGACGAAGAGCCGAATCCCCTCCAGAAGGATCAGGGGACGTAGTAAGCAGTGTTACAAGCACCTCCGTTGGTGTTGCAAGCTCTTGTAAATACAGCTACCTTGATTTCTTCGAAGCATAGTTACCCCCCAAAAAAACCCTGAACCCCTAAACCCTTAAACCCGAAACCCTGCACAGCTATAGTTACCTTACTGGTCAGATCTAACTTACTACGGCACCTGAGCCTTTTACCGGACCTCTGCGCGGCGGAGCTGTTTCTCACTCGAAGCTTCGGCTCAGTGCCCGGGCTTCAGACAAGTGCGACTGCTTCAAGCACTGAGCATCCCAAACCGGATCTTTTGAGAACTGCTGGGCCCTACTATAGGGGCTCTCATTTTTTTCCTTACTACTTTGGGGGTTCCTTATTATCATTAGAGTATAATGGGCCTCCCAAACCTGATCGTTTAAGAACTGCTGGACCCTACGCGCTGAACTCCTGAGCCCAAGCCCCAAACCCAAAATCATAAAACTCCAAAGCCTTAACCCGAAGTCACACAACCCCGAACCCTTAACCGAGAGCCACAAAAATCCGAAACCGCTACAAGAAGAACCTGTCAAGCAATACTATGGTGTGTCCTCAGGCACTTTTTGAAGGGACCCTTTAGACGGAGCCCTCCAAGGAACCCTACGGCTACCATTCAAAACGGAAGCCCCTGCAGGAACCGTGCTTGGAGGTTCATGGGTAGTTATAAGTGGGTTAGAAATACCCGAATATGGGTTATAATTCTGGTTACCCTACTTATGACCCCACTTTTAATAACTACCCTTAAACCCTAATCCCTAATCCCTATAGAACCTAAACCCTATAGAACCTTAGAGGAACTTCACTTATAACTACCCATGAACCTCCAAGTACAACCACTAAAATTGCCATTATAGAACCCTTATACTTGGAGGATCATGGGACTTAGTAAGTAAGGTTTTAAGTACCCTAATTGGGGTTGTAAGTATACTTACCCTAATTATAACCCCAGTTACTAAGTCCCATGATCCTTTAAGTAGACCCTATAAACCCCCTCTTATCATAGAACCCCTGGAGATCCCTTTAAAGGAGCCCTTCAAGGAACCCTAGTTACCAAGTCCCATGGGCCTTTAAGTAGACTTAGGTTTCGAGCTGCCCTGGTGGCCCGGAAGAGTCGGTGGAGGCTGGGCCAAGCCTCCCCTTCTGCCACTTACCCTTCTTCTGGGTGGTTGTGAATACTAGGGTCCCTTTTGGGGTCCTTACTATAATACGGCACCTAACATTTAGGGTACCCAAAAAGGGACCATAATTTTGACAGCCACCCTTGTGGGTTCTTGTTAAGGAACTTAATGTTGGTTTTTAGCTACCATAATAAGGAAACCATGTCATATACTAACTCCCCTTCTTCGGTTTAGGGCTTCAGCGGCTTATAGTGATGATTTCGGGTTTAGGACGTCGGGGCTTCGGGTTTAAGGCTTAGGATGTGGGGCTTAGGGAGTTTTGGGCCTTTTGGGTGTAGGGCGTTATCAGTGATCTCTGTGGTGCGGGTGGTGGTGGTGGTGGTGGTGGTGGTGGTGGTGGTGGTGGTGGTGGTGGTGGCAGTAGCAACAGTAGTAGTAGCCCTGCACCAACCGTGCTTGCAGAATGTTCATGGTGCCCCAAAGCCGGCGCCCGAACAAATTCTAGAAACCCCAACCCAGAATCTCGTGCCAGGACGCCTGCGCGGCGTCCGCCCCCGAGGCATCGTTGAGGCAACGCATGTGTGTGTGTGTGTGTGTGTTTGTGTTCCGGGTTTGAGGTTTAAGGGTTTGGGGTCCTTTTTTGGTTCTGAAATTGGGTTTGCACAGGTTTGTGTTGCGATTCGGATCGAGTCAGGGTCTATTTCCTGGGCGGTTTATGCACAGTTCGTTTCTGATCAGGGCTTTGAAGTGTAGGGCGGATGCATTTGATTAGGGTATGATTAGGGTGCTGCCGGGGCTCGGAGTTTCGTGGGCCTTGCGGGTTTCCGGCTTGGGTGCAGGATGTATTCTGGGGAGCAGAGGCAAAGGCTTGGGACTCAGGTTGAGTGTTGCATGGTCATGTGTAAAGCCCTAACCCCTGATCACCAACCACCCCGTCCCTTGAGAAGGACCTAAACCCTAAACCCTAAACCCTAAACCCTAAACCCTAAACCCTAAACCCTCAGGATTGGTCCTTGTCTCTGCTACTTAGGAAGTCCTCCTGAGCCCAACCCAGCCGCCCCAGGAGCCACGTCGCCTCGGCACGTTTCTACGACAGCCTCAGCCACGACCTGAACAGCAGCGTGCGGGGTCCTGGACGGGGTCTGAGGAAGGAGGGCACGTGGGGCTTAGGGCTTGGGGGTTTCGGGCTCGTTCCTTCCCGTCATCTGCAGCACGACTCACTCGCGACACGATGAGTCAACAGTAGGGCTGCTTCGGTTTGAAAGGGGCTTTGAGAGATGAGAGGAGGGTTGTGCAAGGCTTCGTAGCGGACCATCAAAACACAGTCCTACTACCGCAAAGCCCGCGGTTGTGATCTCGGGTAGTGCTGGCCGCGCAAATCACGAAGTTCGATTATGAGGGCCCCATCCTCTGCTCTTGCTCGCTAGTCTGTCCTGCTCAGTTCGACTTGCCTTGTCTCGCTGCCTGTGGCTTCCAGGATTAGGTGCCTGAGGCCACTGCATCACGAGGTGACTTCCGACGCTTTCCTGTGAGATCTTCGCTTCGCAGCCATGCGTGAGGCAATCTGCATCCACATCGGGCAGGCGCCGGTGAAAGTGCAGACTCGCTAGCCGCTATATACTCTGTAGGATCAGTGTGTAGTGCGTTGCTTAAACTTCCTACTGTATCCTCAGCTCGGTTCCGACATTACATGACTCTACATCCGCAAGCTGAAGTCTGGAAGGGTGGCGTCCAGATCGGCAATGCTTGCTGGGAGCTCTTCTGCCTCGAGCACGGCATCCAGCCCGATGGACAGATGCCCTCGGATAAGACGAGCCTCGGGCAACTTCTGTTTTGGTCTGAATAATTACCAATACTTTTTTTGAGGGTTCTGGATCGAGCCGCAAAGGTATTGCTAGGACCCCAGTGGCAAAGCCACGACTAAGCAGGTGCACCCTCGCAGCCCGACCTGGCATAGGCGGGAGAGGCGTCGGCGTCACTCTGCGCGCCATAGAGTACGCACTGCTATCCAGGCCTCTTTAAAGCCCTGGACCCGCGACTTGCTGCTCTTGTCTGGGCACCACAGTCGCCCACTATACAAGGTGCCTATGGGCAAACGAGGCAACCAACAAGGATGGTGGAACGAGCAAGGCCATGGCCGCCAGGATGGAGAGAGATAGCGGTATTGGCGTGGCTCATGGGGCTCGCCTTCGCGAGCACAGACGCCGACCGATGTGGGGAGATACGACCAGGTGCCTGTCAAGGGCAGTGGGAAAAGCGCGGGCAAGGGCCAGGCTGGCAAAGCGACGGATTTGGTTGTTCTTACGCCAGCCAGCGAGCAGCCGGCTTCCCTTATGACTGCGATCCAGAAGGCTCTCACTGCTTCGAGGAAAGCGGACGTCAAGATGAGAAAACTCCAAGAGTCCAAGGACACCAAAGAACAACAGTGGGCTCAGTGGGCGGCGAAAGCGAAGGCCGACTACGTGAAGCAGAAGCAAGAGTACGAGAAGGACATCCAAAAGATCGCCGAAGAGATGGCACAAGTCTCGGCACATGGCAAAGCTGCTACTGCTCGGATGTGGGACTTAGCCCAGCACCGAGAGGCAGCTATGATCCCTATGGATGCCGAGCCAGAGGACGACAGCTGGGAGAAGTTGATAGCCGAAGAGCCGGAAGAGACCCCCGGGGGTTTTTACCGGGATGCTTTGGCAGCCACGCGACTGCTTACCGGGACGGCCACGAGCTCAGCACCTGCGATCCAGATTCGGCCGGAGATATTACAGCACCTCCTGGCGATGGCAGGACCGGCGCTTTCGGCCGGTACAACGGCAGGCGGCCATTTGGGCACGCCTGCTGGCTCACTCTTCCCCATCCCGGACCCGGCCTATTCTACAGCGATTCCTGGTGCCACGAATACTGGCCAGGTTTCTTCACATGTGATACCTGGGTCAGAGATGCCAGCATGTCCAGTCCCGATGCCAACTGGCCCGCCTGGCTTGGATGGCACGGATACAGGGACGATGGATGGCATGGATGTTTTCGAGCATCGTGCCACCGGGCTGAGAACGTCTCCTTTGCACCCGGGCCAACGGGACCCCTCACAACTTCGTGTCCCCACCTCGGAAGCTCCGCCCAGAACCGACATCAAGACAGCGTCGGTCGCAGCCACCGCGCCCACTCCCAATCCTACAGGCCCGAGTCTGGGGAACAAGCTCGACGCTCGCCGGGAGAAAGAGAGGCGAAATGCCCTTCAGCCCTTTGGAGGGGGTTCCAATGCTGCTGGCGAAACACCTGTCAAGTTCCGCTTCAAGGACGACGACCAGGAGGATGGACAGGGTGGTGCTGCAGTCAGTGGACTAGATGGCCTCTCCTAGCCTCCAAGCAGGATTCCACAGCCTCGAGACTTTTCGGACAGGAGTTCGGCAGCCTCCAGCGCCCAGACGATTTCTTTTCCTTCTGGGGAAGGAAGAGGGTTGTCGAGCTGTGCTTTGGGCAATGCTCTCTCTTTGTTCGAGAAGCCTGTCAAGCTGTGCGAATCCTCTTGCCTGTAAGTTGCTCCTATGCCTGTACAGCATTTCTAGGGTGGCCTTTCTGTACAGGCTGTCTGTCGATGGATGGTGATGTGGGCCTCGGGTGTGTGATCATTGCTTATCGGGTATCTGTGGGCTCTCCTTGGGTTTTGGTGCAGTCCTGCAGGTGCCCGATGGTCTCCTCTGTCGGCGACTGTGCTCCTTGTGAGGTTTGCAGTGGTCCGGCCCCGCCTGTAGTCCCTTATTGGGACCAGCATCTTCTTTGGTCCTCTGCCTCCGCTGCTCCACAGCGGCTTCTTGGATGTTTTGCTCGTTTTCATTTGGGAGCTGGGGCGTACCGAAGAAACGCATCGGTGGTTCAGGGGCGTTCACCCCCAGCCTCCCAACCCTTTTCCTGCACCCTCTCGGCTGGGGCGGTTTGTCCTGTTATGCTCTCGCGCAAGAATGGAGTTTTGTGTACCATTCTCAATAGCCAGGCGTCCATGCCCTTTCTTCCTTCAAAGGGTCTTCTGGGGTCGGTGTACGACGCGTACCGAAGAAGCGCATCGGTGGTTCAGGGGCGCTCACCGTCGGACACTGATCAGCCCTTCGCTAGGATGTGTGCTTCCTTTTCCGTTGACTTGGTTGCGGTCGCTCGCGGCTTCATTCTTCTTGTCTTCGCTGAGCTAGTTTGCTTGCTCCTTCGCCGACATAAAAGGTCTTTCACCCGTGCTGGCCGTCGGCGTCTTGATGCGCCTTGTTCGCTCGTGCGTACCTTTGGCTTTGCTAGGCCGTCTTTCTCCGCTCTGGCTTGGGCCCCTGCTTCTACTTATAGGAGCGGGTTGACACGGCCCAGCAAGGGCCATAGGGCCCCAAGGCGGCCTTCCTTGCTGCCATCGGCATTGGCCAGATTGTGTCGTCTCTTGGTTCTATGTGGGTGTTGGAATTCTCTGCCGGTTCAGGTCTGGGGTATGCCAACAGAGACGGCTGGACTTGTTACAGCATGTGCCTCTGCTCCTCCATACGGAGCCAGTTCGGATGTGTCTGATGGGACATTTGCTTCCCCGACTAACCGGGGTTCTGCTTTCTCAGGTGAAGATACGATCGGCTCCACTGCCGACGGTGAGGCTTCTCTCGCGGATGCCCTTGCCCCGGAAGATTTGATGACTATGGTTTATGCATTAGTGTACGTCCCAGATAGGACCCCGGTGTCGCTTTTGATACCTCGACCAAGGGACGGACTCCCTGCCTCATATCTCACTGAGATTTGTAGGAGGTTGGGTCATACTTACGACCCACGCCTTTGGGATGCGCATTTCTTGGAGCCACAACTCTGCACGGATCATGTTGCCGTGGTTTTGTCTCCTTGTTGGGTCAAGCACTCACGCCTTCAAGTTGCCGTGTTGGACTTTTCTGCACACGCAGGCCCTGTGTATGCCTGCTTCACTGCTGCCACACTCGCTTTTGAAGACCTGGATGAGCTCAGTTCGCTGTATGCTCATGAGCCCTGGATTGCTCGAGCACCGGGGATCGCCGGCCCCCTTAGTACCGGGCAGGAGATTGTACTGGGGCCTGGACATGTGGTTCGCTTTTCTCCTGTTTCGGCGTTGCTGGATGAGCCCTTGCCTCTTTGTGAGCACCTTAGGCTTCTGCCTAGTGCTGAGACGGTACGTCCTCCGGCGCCTTGCGAGGAGCCTAATGGATGGCTCTGTCTAGGGGGCAGGGAGACCTTTATGCTCCCCTATGAAGAAGATGACGTCAGCGGCCTACAGACACAGATCGCCGTGCGGATGCGTTGCAGGGAGGATAGGCTCAGCTTTTGCACTATGCACGCGCCGGTCTTGCAGGACCAGCTGCTGTTTGCGGGGCGTCGGACCAGGGGAGTCCTCGCCGCAGCGTTTTTTGATTCACGCGGGGCTGAGTTTGAGCCTCCGCGCGTTGCGGTTTTTGTCGACTGCCGTGCCCTTGCTAAGGGCTTGCGCTGTGTTTGGGTGCCCCCGGGCCTGCGGGAGCCCGATCTGCTCCTCAATTGCTTGGACCTGTCCTTGCCCGCAGGTTTTGTGCCTTACTGTGTCGAGACAGATGTGATCGGGCTCCTTCCGCCATTGCATGGCGGTGAACTTGTCACTGCCCTGTTCCGACCCAGACTTGCGCTGCCGACTGCTTTCGCGTCTGCCATGCCTCTTGCACATACGACGTACTCCAGACGTCGTGCTGTTGCGCCTACTTCGGCGCCGGCCAGTGCTCTCTCTTTGGACAGGGAGGACCCTGTTACTTTTGAATCCAAGAAGGCATACTTGGTTGTCTATGTGCAGGATAGGTCTCCGGAAGTCGTCTATGTGGAGCTGGACTTCCCCGCCGCGTTGTCGGAAGTCATGGAGCAAATGTGCTACGCTCTTGACCACCATACGGTGCGCCGGTATGGTCACATGCTCCCGGTCCGGCCACAGCCCAACACCTCACATGCCTGTTTTGTTGCTCGCCCTCCTTGGGCGGCCAACAAGGTTCAAATCTTAGTCGACGCGCGTGACTGGGACGGCCGTCTCTTTACCATCGTCATTGATCGATGGGTGCAGTGGGGGTCTTTCATGTTGCAAGGTGGCTTTCTTATCACTGGCGTACCACAAATCTAT